TTAACTATATACATACCTGCCTTCTTGTGAGTGTACAGCCATTAAAGCAGCAAGTGTGGTGGTGTGATGCCAAAATAAATACAGCCTGACTCAGTATCCATTTCAACCAAGATTGGAACTGGACTCAAACTGTTCCTTCATATTTCTCCTGGAACTATGCGTCTGAACAAAGGTTTTGCTCTCTCTTGAAACCATTCATCCCATATCAAATGGGGAAGGAAAAGTGGAAATGTCTTATCAGAAGATTATTTCCCTTCTGTCCCCTACATGCCTAGGATAGCATTCACAACCACAAACAAATGCTATCAATATACTCTCCCCTGTTATTTGCAGCACAAATGGGGTAATTCATTGCTTTCAATCCTGCTACTTTCAGCAATATCAGCAATGATATTTTCGTAACATGCACACATGCATACATTGTTCTGGGGTCATGAAGGATTAAAGCTATGTGTTTAGGGAAAGGTGATGAGGGTCATGGAAGTGTCATAAGGGACTAAAGCTATATTTTTAGGTTACAAGAGGAGCCTCAAACCTAGTAAGGTTGTTTACAATTTAAACAGGTTGAGAGAGTGTCCCAGAAGTAATTCCCACAAACAAATATATAATAGCTAATATGATGATATATACCGTCTATTTCAAGTGTAAATACAATTTTACACGTTTAGATAAGTGTTAGGTTTTGATTCATTACCCTCAACTGTGCATACAATGTAACTCTAGTTTACATCCAAGTAAGTATGTTATCCCTTTTTAGTGAAGTCGTTCTTAGTCATAAGGCACTGATTTCTAATACTAGGCATTTCCTTGCATTTGAAATTGAACTTGTGATTCTTTTATTATTTATTTTTACTTTATTTTATGTGTATGAGTTCTTTGCCTGCATGTATGTAAGTGCACCCATGTCATACAATGTCTGTGGAGGTCAGAAGAGGGGTGTTGGATCCCCTAGAAATGGAGTTAAGGACAGTTGTTAACCACCATGTAGGTGCTGGGAAGTGAACCTGGGTCCTCTGGAAGAGCAGCTAGTGCTCTTAACCACTGAGCCATCTCTCCAGCTTGAACTTGTGATTCTTCATTTAATTTTAAGTGTTAGTATCTTTGAGAGGCAATTTTATGATAACCATGAAAAGAAGACTGTTGCCATTTTCTCCAAATTGCCTATTTTCTATCTCATAAATAAGATCTGTCTTTGG